TTATTAAGTATATGACAAAATAATTATGATATTGTATTTACAATATTTAATTTAATAATTGAAAATAGTTTGATACAAAAAGTTACTATTATTAATCGCAGCTAGCGGTATACGTATTTGATCTTGAGTATGTCTACTCCTAGTATGCTACCCATGCGATGCACGGAATGAACATTGGACAACATTATAATAATATTATTTATTAAAAATACATAACCTAATATTAACATAGTTGCAATTCATATTCATATTCATATTCATATATATATATATATATATATATATATATATATATATATATATATATATTTATTTATTTATTTATTTATTTATTTATTTATTTATTTCTTTATTATTAATAAGTAAATAAATAAATATATAAATATATAAATAAATAAATATATATATATATATATATATAAATAAATAAATAAATAAATATATAAATATATATATATATATATAAATAAATAAATATATAAATATATATATATATATATATAAATAAATAAATATATAAATATATATATATATATATATATATATATATATATATATACCATATGGTCTTGTGAAAATTAAATGTTGTTAATACCAACATTTAACCATTAATATCAACATTTAATTTTCACAAGACCATATGGCTTTATTATAATTAAGATGTGGAAAGCCTTTTGATTTGATGAAAATTTACACGATTTTTTTATAAAAATTAAGGAGAATAACATTCTTGACCTCTTAATTCTATAAATTTTTGAAATTCAGTCATTTTAACTTAATTTGTACGAATTTAACACCTTAATTGTTCATTTATTAATTAATTAATCCATTTTTCTCTCTTAAAATAAAATAATTATTATAAAGATGTCATTTTCTGTTCTTTATTATATACCAATTGCTTAATAATACCCAGTCAGGCAAAACTTACATCAAAATAGTCAATGCTAGGTGTCATACGTTATGATGTATGGAGCAATTTCAGCGAAAATTAACAAAATTTGAATACAAATTGACAAATTTAATATAAAAATTAAAGAAAATAACATTTTCCCTCTCAATTTTTTACTTTTATATATTTAGTCTTTGTAACTTAAATTAAAATAAATTTAGCCCTTTAATGGTTCATAATTCATAAGGATGTACTTTTAATCCCTATTATTATACACTTGTCAAATTTCATCAACATATGATTTTATTTTGTCATTTAGAATAAATTTTTTTTTATGTTAGAATGACGTAAGTTTGTCAACAATTTGAATTTTGGATTTAAAAATATAAAACATCAAAAAAAATTATCTTTTTTTTTTTTTTTTTTTTTTTTTTTTTTTTTGCATTTGCATTTGACGGTAATTTCCTTATGTTTCATCCAAGTACACAAATTTTGCAGAAAATGTGCCATAGATATGACATACTTTAATTATGTCTTATATATAGGAATAAGGGTCAAATAGGCCATCAAACTGTATATGATAATACAATTAGGCCACTGAACCTAAAAAACCAACAATTGAGTCCCTAAACTTATCAATTCCTAACAATTCTTCCAATTTGAAGGTTTCCAACAAGTCAACAGGTTATCCTCCAAATTAATTATTTTTTTAAAAATAAAATTTAAAAATTAATTATTAAATTTTTTTTTTAAAAAAAAAAAAACAGATCGGCTGAATTCTGTTTTTTTTTTAATTATTTAAATAATTAATTTTTAAATTTTATTTTTTTAAAAATAATTAATTTGGGAGGATGACCTGTTAACTTGTTGGAAACCTATAAATTGGAAGAATTGTTTGAAATTGGTTAGTTTAGGGACCTAATTGTTGGGTTTTTAGGTTCAGTGACCTAATTGCATTATCGTGTGCAGTTCGATGACCTATTTGACCCTTATTCCGTCTTATATATGTCAGAATTGATGTGCGTCTCCCGTGCTTGCATCATTTCAATCAAAGCTTCCCTGAATTATAACATATAATTTGTGAAGAATTTTGATTTGATGAAAATTAACAAAATTTTTTTAAAAAATTACGAAGAATAACATTATTGGCCCCTTAATTGTTTAACTTTTTGAAATTTAGTCCTTCTAACTTAAGTTAAACAAATTTAACACCTAAATTGTTTATTTATTAATGTATTATTAGGTTTCATTTTACTGTCACAAAAAAAAAAATTAATATAAAGATGCCATTTTGAGTTCTTTATAATATACCAATTACTTAATAATTAATTTTAATAAAACACTTCTAATTCATGCATCTATTAGACATAGTTCAAAAAAACTAATGGATAAAACCTAGTCGGACAAAAGAGATGGGTGTTGACGAGAGCAGTGTAGAATCCTTTACCCGATTAGACATGACGTACATTAGTTTAGTTAATGCCGACATGTGTTATGATGTATGAAACGATCAAAATTAAAAAAAAAAAAATTTATACAAATTAACATTTTTTTAATATAAAAATTAACAAAATTTATTATACAAATTGACAAAATTAATTATAAAAATGAAAGAAATTAACATTTTGCCCCCTTAATTTTTAACTTTTAGAAATTTAGTCCTTGTTACTTAATTTAAATAAATTTAGCCCATTAATTTTTGATAAATCATAATGCTGTACTTTTAGTCGCTATTATTATACACTTGTCAAATTCTATTAATATATGAGTTCAATCAAAAGTTGTCATGCCTTATAATGTTGGAGCAATTTCATTTGATGAAAATTAACACAATTTTCTTTTATAAATATTAGGGAGAATAACATTTTTGACCCCTAAATTGTTAACTTTTATAAATATAGTCATTTTAACTTAATTTAAAAAATTTAGCCGCTTAATTATTCATAAATCATAATAGTGCAATTTTAGTCTATAGTATTATACATATGTCAAACCCCATTAACATAAGACGGCAATTTTCTTACGTTTCTTGCTAAACACCTTGAATTTTACATAAAATATGCTATACATATGTCATACTTTATTGTAGTATACGTGTCAGAATTGATACTTGCATCAATTCAGACAAAGCTTACATGCGTTATAATGTGTGGAGCGTTTACATTTGATGAAAATTAACAAAATTTTTTATAAAAATTAAGGAGAATATCATTTCGCCCCCTTAATTGTTTTACATTTAGAAATTTAGTCCTTTTAACTTAATTTAAACAAATCTAACCCTTAATTGTTAATAAATATAATGTAACACTTTTAGTCCAGAGTATTAATTATACACATGTCAATCTTCGTTAACATATGAATATATTTTATCATTTAGAATCAATTTTTTCTATTAAAATGACGTTATTTTTGTCAACAATTTAAATTTTGGATTTAAAAATACAAAATATTAATTATATTATCTTTTTTTTTTTTTTTTTTTTTTTGTTTCATATGACGGTAATTTCCTTATGTTTCATGCCAAGCACACAAATTTTGCAGAAAATTTGCCATAGATATAACATACTTTAATTATGTCTTATATATTTCAGAATTGATGTGCGTCTCCCGTGCTTGCATCATTTCAGTCAAAGCTTCCACGAATTATAACATATAATGTGGGAAGCATTTTGATTTGATGAAAATTAACACAAATTTTTATAAAAATTATGGAGAATAACATTCTTGGCCCCTTAATTGTTTAAAATTTTGAAATTTAGTCATATTAACTTAATTTAAAAAAATTTAACACCTTAATTGTACATTTACTAATTAATTAAACCGTTTTACTGTCAAAAAATAAAATAATTATTATAAGACGTCATTTTGTGTTCTTTATTATATACCAATTACTTAATAATACCCAGTTTGACATAACTTACATCAAAATAGTCAATGCTAACTGCCATACGTTATGATGTATGTAGGAATTTCGGCGAAAATAAACAAAATTTGAATACAAGTTGATAATATTTAATATAAAAATTAAAGAAAATAACATTTTTCCCCCTTAATTTTTTACTTTTATATATTTAGTCCTTGTAACTTAATTTAAATAAATTTAACCCTTTAATGGTTCATAAATAATAAGGTTGTACTTTTAATCCCTATTATTATACACTTGTCAAATTCCATTAACATATGATTTTATTTTATCATTTCAAATCAATTTTTTATGTTAGAATGACGTTATTTTGTCAACAATTTGAATTTTGAATATAAAAATATAAAACATCAATTATATTATCGTTTTTTATTTTATTTTTTATTTTTTATTATTTTATTTTTTTTGCGGATGAAGGTAGTTTCCTTATTTTTCATGACAAGCACACAAATTTTGCAGAAAATTTGCCATATATATAACATACTTTAATTATGTCTTATATATGTCAGAATTGATGTGCGTCTTCCGTGCTTGCATCATTTCAGTCAAAGCTTCCATGAATTATAACATATTATGTGGGAAGCCTTTTGATTTGATGAAAATTTACACGATTTTTTATAAAAATTAAGGAGAATAACATTCTTGGCCTCTTAATTCTATAAATTTTTGAAATTTAGTCATTTTAACTTAATTTGAACGAGCTCAATGATGGGGGCGAAGGGAATGTGGTTATGACAGAAATCCAAAAAAACTTGTCTGTGGCGGGTACTGGTTCCCAGACCCGCCCGTCATTATGAGTACCATCATCTGGAACTGTCGTGGCTTAGGCAATCCACGAACAGTCGAGAGTTCACGGACCTTGCGTCCCAGAAGAAGCCTGACTTTATTTTTCTTATGGAAACCATGGTGAAACGAATACATGCTGAAAGAATTCGTGTCACTCTTGGTTTTGATGGTCTTTTTTATGTTGATCCGACACCGCAGGGTGGTGGTGGTTTAGCACTGCTGTGGTGGAAGAATAATACGGCAAGTCTATTGAGCTACTCCAAAAACCATATTGATATTGAGGTAAATATGTCCAGTTTTCCAAAGTGGAGAATGACGTGTTATTATGGCTACTCTCAGCGCCATAGGAGGGCAGAAGCATGGGAATTGATAAAATCCTTTGCGCCTCGGTCCACCTTACCATGGGTTATGATTGGAGATTTTAACGATCGCCTGTTTCAGCATGAGAAGAGAGGGGGTAATCCTCATCCTAATAATCTCCTACGCGGCTTTGGGGAGACTATTGATCAATGAAGTTTGACTCAGTTGCCTATGGAGGGTTACCGTTTTACTTGGGAGAAGGGAAAGGGTACGCCAGCTTGCATTGAAGAAAGATTGGATAAAGTATTATCTTCTAATGATTGGCGCGAGATTGTTCCTGGGGCCAGAGTTATTAATAATCGGATGAGGAAATCTGATCATTCTGCGCTGTTTTTGAGTGTCCATGGAACGTTCCAAAACGGAGGAGGTGGAAGGAGAGGGTTCCGGTTCGAAATGGCCTGGATATATGATGATGGATGCAGGAATGTGGTGGAAAAGTCATGGGAGGAAGGGATGAGTGAAGGAATCGAAGACTGTATAGCACACTGTGGGAATAGGTTATCCAGATGGGGCGGTGACCGGTATCATAAATTCGGTGAAAAGATCAGGCTCCTACGGAAACAACAATTACATCTTAGGGGTCGCACTGATCTAGCATCCTTAGCTGAATTCCAACGACTGGAAGGAATTCTGAGCAGTATGGAGATCCAGGAGGATGCTTACTGGAGGCAAAGAGCCAAGCAACACTGGCTTAAGAATGCAGATGCTAATACAAAATTCTACCACAGGTACGTCTCTCATCGTAAGAAGAAAAATACTATTTATAAACTTATGAATGATAATGGGGATTGGGTGGAAGGGGATGCTATGAGTACGATTATCTTGGATTATTTTAGCCATATATTTTCCTCTTGTGATCCTGTGGATGGTGACAATTTATTTTCTGGAGTATCCCCGTGTAACCCAGATTCAGAATGATTCATTGTTACGTTCTTTTGAGGTATTTGAGGTTAAGGATGCCGTGTTTGCGATTGCCCCTGACAAAGCTCCTGGACCGGATGGTATGAACCCAGGTTTCTACCAACATTTCTAGGATGTAGTTGGTAGCGATATTTCGACATTTATACTGGATTGTCTTAATAATCGGGTCTTCCCCTCTGATCTGAATAATACGGATGTGGTGCTCATCCCAAAAAAGAAAACCCTTGAAGTGGTAGCAGATTTTCGCCCGATAGCATTGAGCAATGTGATCTACAGGATAATGGCAAAGATGATTACACAGAGAATGAAGCCCTTAATGGAAAGTATAATATCTGGCTCACAGAGTGCATTTATTCCTGACAGGCTGATTACTGATAATATTCTTGTAGCTGCAGAAGTGGGGCATTATTTGAATAGGAAACAGTGTCGGGCTGTAGGTTGGAGTGCACTCAAACTTGATATGGCCAAAGCTTATGACCGTATGGAATGGCCCTTCCTCCGTGGAATGTTATTAGCCTTGGGCTTCGATAATAGATGGATTGAGTTGCTTATGTTGTGTGTGACCACTGTGTCGTATACCTTTATGATAAATGGCTCCCGTAGTTCATCCATTACACCCACGCGTGGCCTCCGCCAGGGGGACCCATTATCTCCTTATTTGTTTATTATCTGTGCGGAGGGACTTTCAGTGCTATTGCAACAGGCGCAAGATAGAGGTTTAATACATGGCTGCAGGGTTGCTAGGGGAGCACCTCCGATCTCTCATTTATTTTTTGCAGATGATAGCCTATTGTTTTTCAGAGCGAATGAGCAGGAAGCATCTGAGATAAAAAATTGTTTACAGTTATATGAGAGTTTATCTGGTCAGAAGGTAAATTATCATAAGTCCAGTATATGTTACAGCAGGAATACATGACAGAATTATAAGGATATGGTGGCACAAATACTAGGTGTTGCTCAAGCCCCCAACTTTGGGAAATACCTAGGGTTACCCTCATTTGTGGGTAGGAACAAGAAGGCTGCATTTGCATACATAGAAGCTAAAATCAAACAGAGGATTGGTTCTTGGAACAAGAGATTGTTATCACAGGCCGGTAAGGAAGTTTTGTTGAAAAGTGTGGCTCAGGCAATGCCAACATTTTCAATGAGTGTTTTTCTTTTACCCATATCTGTTTGTACAGCTATTGAACGTGTTATGAACCGGTACTGGTGGGGTCTGGTACGAATCGTGGCATTCACGGGAAAGCCTGGGATAAATTGTGTGTCCCAAAGAAATATGGTGGACTGGGATTTAAAGATTTAAGGGCATTTAATTTGGCAATGTTAGGAAAACAGGCATGGAGGCTGCTCACCAACACTGACTCATTGGTAGCCAAGATTTATAAAGCTAGATATTATCCAAAGGATACTTTCCTGGAGGCGACTATAGGAAATAATCCAAGCTTTTGTTGGCGCAGTATTATGGCGGCTAAGGGCCTAATATGTGGCGGTATAAGAAGGCGAATTGGGAATGGGAATTCTACCTTAATATGGGAGCATCCCTGGCTGCAGGATGAACTGGATCCTATGATTCACACAGAAATGCCACAGCACCTGTCTGGGGCCAGAGTGGTAGGATTAATTGATCAGGATACGGGCACCTGGGATCCGCATATACTAGCTGATATTTTCCAACCAAGTGATATACCCAGAATCCAAAATATACCAGTTGCCCCTGAGTATGATGATATATGGTATTGGTATGGTGATCCTAATGGATGTTATTCAGTCAAGAGTGGTTACAGGCATATAGTTGGTAATTACGAGAGTAATTCCAATGGAATTTTTAATGAATGGCTAGACCTATGGAAATTAAAAATTCCACCAAAATGGAAGACATTCCTATGGAGAGCTATTTGTGATATCCTTCCTACTACCAGTAACTTACTTATAAAGAGAGTGGATGTTAACCCAATGTGTGCCATGTGTGGGAGAGTGAATGAAGATACCATGCATGCATTAGTTTTGTGTGACTATGCACACTCCATTTGGGCTAAATCCAACCTTCCATTCCCCAATATTGTCACAAATATTTTCCATGAATGGTTTAGTGCAATCTTGAATGTTCTAGACTTTGATGGAATTGTTTATGTAGCTGCAATTTTATACCACCTATGGAGGGCCCGAAACGGAGCAGTATGGGATGCCTGTCTACCAAGGCCAACGAAATTGTTAACAATTGCAACAGCTACAATGAAAGCATGGAAGGACCTCCACTATTCTACCTCATCACAGCCCCGAACTGCTGCCCACCATCCTACTGCCGGACAGCCTGCACCGGTCGACGAACCTGCTGGAACCGCACTGTCTCCGCCGCACGCCAACTTGCCGGAATTCATGCATGGCGAAATAACGACACCCGTGAAGTGCTATATGGACGCAAGCTACCACCGTGGAACGAATGCAACAGCTGTTGGTGCGGTACTCCTCGACGCCAATGACCGCTATATATCGGCTTTCAGCGCCCCATTAATAGGTTGCCACTCCCCGCTCATGGCCGAGGCTTTTGCATGCAAGGAAGTACTATCATGGCTTAAAAGGAGGAATGAGCTATCTATACAAATTCATACGGATTGTCAACTACTACAGTGCTATTTATCTGGATCACCAACCACATCACGTTCGTATCTAGGTTATGCTATCGATAGTTGCAGAACCTATATTTCTACGTTTTCTTACTGCTCAGTTATTTACATTTCTAGATTACATAATTTATTAGCTCATACTTTAGCTACTACAGCATTTAATTTCGCTACTGCTATGTACTGGGACAATGTCCAACCAGACTCTATTTTAACTCTTCTATAAATACAACCGCCAGGTTGACTTTCAAAAAAAAAAAAAACTTTATTTGAATGAATTAAACACCTTAATTGTCCATTTATTAATTAATTAGTCTGTTTTTCTGTCTTAAAATAAAATAATTATTATAAAGATGTTATTTTGTGTTTTTTTATTATATACCAATTATTTAATAATACCCAGTCAGGGATAACTTACATCAAAATAGTCAATGCTAGCTGCCATACGTTATCATGTATGGAGCAATTTCGACGAAAATTAACAAAATTTGAATACAAATTGACAAAATTTAATATAAAATTTTAAGAAAATAACATTTTCCTCCTTAATTTTTTACTTTTATATATTTAGTCCTTGTAACTTAAATTAAAATAAATTCAGCCCTTTAATGGTTCATAAATCATAAGGTTGTACTTTTAATCCCTATTATTATACACTTGTCAAATTTCATTAACATATGATTTTATTTTGTCATTTAGAATCAATTTTTTTTTATGTAGAAGGACGTAATTTTGTCAACAATTTGAATTTTGGATTTAAAAACATAAAACATCCAAAAAATTATCTTTTTTTTTTTTTTTTTTTTTTTTTTTTTTTTTTTTTTTTGCATATGATGGTAATTTCCTTATGTTTCATGCCAAGTACACAAATTTTGCAAAAAATGTGCCATAGATATGACATACTTTAATTATGTCTTATATACGTCAGAATTGATGTGCGTCTCCCGTGCTTGCATCATTTCAATCAAAGCTTCCATGAATTATAACATATAATTTGTGAAGAATTTTGATTTGATGAAGATAACAAAATTTTTATAAAAAATTAAGAAGAATAACATTATTGGCTCCTTAATTGTTTAACTTTTGAAATTTAGTCCTTTTAAATTAAGTTAAACAAATTTAACACCTTAATTGTTTATTTATTAATTTATTATTAGGTTTCATTTTACTGTCACAAAAAAAAATAATTATTATAAAGATGCCATTTTGAGTTCTTTATAATATACCAATTACTTAATAATAAATTTTATCAAACACTTCAAATTCATGTATGCATCTATTAGACATAGTTCAAAAAAGCTAATGGATAAAACCTTGTCGGACAAAAGATATGGGCGTTGACGAGAGCACTGTAGAATCCTTTACCCGATTGGGCATGACGTACATCAGTTTAGTCAATGCCGACATGTGTTATGATGTATGAAACAATTTCATTCGATCAAAATTAACAAATTTTTCTTTTTACAAATTAAAATTTTTTTAATAAAAAAATTAACAAAATTTATATACAAATTGAAAAAATTATTTATAAAATGAAAGAAATTTATATTTTGCCCCCTTTATTTTTCACTTTTAGAAATTTAGTCATTGTTACTTA